TTCACACTGTCTATGCCATTGATGAAATTATTTAACAGCATTGCCTCAGTATGGACCCTTAAGGGACACCACTCATTACTGGTTTCCACGAGTAACCAGTGTAGCCCTAGGTTTCAAAACCTACCTTATAACTTGTATAAAAAGGATTATATGATATGTGTGTCTCCTCTTCTAGAAATTTAAGTTGATGATCCCAGAGATCACCTTCTGTCAGTTGTTTCTAAAAGCAACTTAAACTGCAGTGTGCAGAGCTCAAATTAAGTCATGGGGACTCCAGGAGGAGACAAGATTTTGCTGTTACAGGGAGCTATTTGTTTTATATAAATACCAAGGAAGGTAACTGCTGAATGGTTAATGGGACGGTAAAGGGATATTTAGTAAAAGATATAGATGGTCTTCCCTTGCCATATTACTGAGTTGTCCAAACAAAATAAGCATATCACAGTCTTATGGTTAATAATGAAGATGCATTGTGTTTTGAACCCTGATAGGATGAGGACAACTGCTCACATGTAATTCATTTACACTGGAACCTTATGTTCAAAAGCTTTACTGTTGTGCTTATCAAAAAACAACACTGAGGTTTTTTTGAATTTTTTTTTTTTTGAGTTAAATGTTCCCTGTAGAAACTGATATAATACCACTACTTGTTGTTCAGTACAGCAGATTTAAATTATACGAGTCACAGTGATAAAACATTTTCAGCTTCAAGCATTGCAGATGATAGTAAAATTTGCACTCCATTTCTTTGAACTGAACATGACTCAACTTTAAAAAATACCTCTAATCAATCAAATAAGCTGCCTATGCAAAACACAGTGTGATTATTTTCTATTTCAATTGCTTACTCACAATGTTATGATTCAGTGAACTCCTGTTCACTGTAGAACTCCTGTTCTACTCCTGTAGACTCCAGTCTATATAACGTTAAGATTCCACACTTTTAACAGTTCCTCATGATTGTTGTACAATGCTTTATGTAATGTAATGTTCAAAATAATTTTCTGCAAAACCAGTTGTATTTATGGAATTGTTACTTAGATAAAAATAGTTTATGCTTCTTAAAGATTTAAGGCAATCAAGATTCATACTTTTATTTACCAATGGCCCTCACCACTGAAATTGTAGTTAAAAAAAAAAATCACTAAGAAGCTGTTAAACTATGTCCCAAAAACTTCTAGTTTTTTAGGTAAAAGTTTTAAAATTATTCAATTACATTGCCACCTGAAAGTAAATTTAACAAGTTTTGCTGTTTGTTACTTCAGGTTTGAATAATATTTGTAAATGCTTCATATTTCCATTTCTTACTTGGGTTCTTCAGAAATCTACATTGTTGAAGATTTTTAGAGTTTACCTACATTGGATTTCCTTAAGTCAGTCATATTGAAACACATAACTAAATATTGAAATAAATAATGGATACATCACTTCTAATTCAAATGGACATAAGGGATCTTTTATATTCATTAAAGAATCTGAACATTTTGATTCAGGCATTCACAGAAGGTCTCTACATTTAAGGGCAAACACACAACAATATCAGTAACGTAATGAATTTGTTAAGGTTAGATTTACCAGTAACATCTCAGAGCAAAGCAGCTAATGCAACCTAATTTATTTTTTCTAGATCAACTGAGTCACAGTTAACTATATTGCATTTAGGATTTCAGAATACTCTCCCTGGACACAAATTTATAGATGCATAGAAAGATGCTGAACATCCTGCAACAACATCTAGACAGACTCTGGTTAAATTCCCAGCCAATCCCAGTTGAGGTGATCAACTCAATTTATGCTACCTGAATTTCTTGAAGAAGATGCAGTTTCCAATTTGGAAACACTGAAATGTCAAGTATCAGCCTCAGCTGATTAACAGACCATCAGTTCTGGAATGTTCAGCTGATAACTTCATTAGTTGCTCCTGCTTGTCAATTATGTTTTAGTATAGAAAACATAGACTGCTATCTTTATAAAAGGTAGAACTTAAAATTGAGTTCTTTCCTTCTTTCTGTTTCAAAATTAAGATAATTGGTGGGAAGGACGTACACTATAGACAATGTCAGCACTGCCTCTGTGTCATAAAGGTCTTAGGAGCCTACTTAATGAATGAATTTCCATGCTAAAATTATGCTAATACTTTACAAAGACAGAAAAAGTGTGGGGAGTATCTTTCTTCCATCTGAAAGTGTAAAATACAGTGAGAACCCAAAAGAAAACTAGAAATAAGAGTTGAAGGCACTGCTTTACCAGAGGTTGGGCTGCTCAGCTGTGTGCACTTCCATTTACAGCCATAAACCCTGACAAGAGGAGGGAAAGCAAACATTCTGATCAACAACACTGAATCCCAAGAGCTGAGAAGCAGGCTGAGGAGAGCTGACAACTTGAAGAATAAGAGTTACATTGTGCCCTGATTTTCTTCAGAGAATTAAGAACTGATCCGTTTCCTAAAACTCCCCAAACTAGACCTGGTTTATTCCTACTTTCTAATATGAAGGCTTTATTATTCCTTCACATTTGCTATTATGAATGATACAAGACAGAAGGCTTGATCAGAGTCTGAGAACATGATCAAGAATCTGACAGGATGTGGCTACATCAAAGAAACTACACAGCACCCCACGGACTACCACAGGGCTCCATCTGCACACTCAGCTGTCAGGTCAGGATTTTAGAACAAAATCCCACCATTTAAACTAGCTTACACCTGTGATGTAAGATCAAAATCTGAGGACAAAGCATGGGCTATTTGTTTGCTTTCATTTTTATTACTATATTGTGCATTGCCAGCAAGGGCTTTTTGCATACTCTAAACATAAATTGCAGTCTTCTCTTCTGAAAAAGATCATTGGTTTATGTTGAAGAATTTTAGCTGGAGCTTTGGATGAGAATGATAGCAAGAAAAAAGTAAAAGCGATCAAGGTGTGAGGATTTATTTTTTCATTTCTCTTAAATATAAGAGTATAATATAGCAAAACTCACAGTTACAATCTGCCCGAGCTACCATATTTAGTTACTTTTTTGAACCAACACTGGTAATTATACACAGCACTCTCACAGTTTTTCTGTTCATCCAAATGGATCCCTATTGTCTGCTGCAAATACATTGTGAAAGTTAGTTTGGCTTGGTTTGTACATGTTCCTGAAAGCCTTCAGATCCATTTCAGTTTGTCTCTTGAAAAATTTCTCATAAGAATATAACCTTTTTTCTAAACAAAATAAAAGACTCCCTAATATATATTGTATTTCTGTTGCGTATTTTTTGAGTACATTGGGGTTGGCAGTTGAACATATATGTTTGTGGCTACATATACTTCAGGAAATTAGCAAGCAGAGAAGCTGAAATAAATTTGATACATATTTACAACTTAATTTTCTACTCCACTGGGTTTTTTTTATGTATAGTCCAATTATCACTTCACATGAACAAGGAAATTTTCAAAAGTCACAGCTGGGTTCTGGTGTCCACTAACCTGCAGTGGGAGTTGAAAGCCAGATATCAGTATGCTCTCTCTCACTCTTTTTTAATGTTATTTGCTTCCCTTTCTTCTCCTTCTCCCTGACTTTCCCTCTGTGCATTACAAAGAAGAACAAACAGAATGCTGAGGAAACAGTGAAAGCTACAATCACACCATTCCTCAGTTTCCCCTTCAGAGTTCTCTCCCCAGCTTCTGTGGTTTATCTCAGTGTACTGTGATAGATTTTGAGATGAGATTTTCCCTTCTTGGAACATGGCTGTGGCTAAATCTAGTGCAAGACAATGAAAATCTACCACAGATTGTTAGTTCCAAAGAAATTAAGTGATTATTTTGACTTCAGCTTCGTATTCTTTATACCAGCCTTGTATTCTTGATATCATTTACTTGCCTTTTTCATTAAAAGATTTAATGAGTTCTCAGAGTAAGTAATCAAATCCTATATATGGTATCCATATGTGTACTATTCACTACAGTAACCAGTAAGAGTTCGGCTGTGATCATGATCAGCATGGTTGCTAAACTATTAAACAGGCTCCTGTTCATAAAGTGGTTTTTATTCAATTACATTTAAATTGCTACAAATTGGAATAAACATGGTTCAGTGATGCAAAAATCACAGGAGTTTTCAAAGCTGTTATTTTCTTTGTCTGATTTTTACACTTCACATAATAGTACCCTCGGATCTCATAACTAACCTGTCATACTCTGAATTATTGCTTATTCACAACTTTATTATCACATCAGATATATTACTATTCCTTCTCCTTGAATTTAGGACTCAATGATAACACTAAATTGAAATGTCATTGTACTGCAGCTAGCACAATGATTACAGAAAAAGCCACATCTGCTTTAAAGTTCATAGATCATATAAAGTTAGAAGGAAGAACCATGCATCAGAGAAACTTTCAGGTCATTTGTACATGTCTTTCCCTTCTCATTAATCAATATGTCAGGCACGGCATGAAAGAATGCTAATTAGATTAATCTAAGGTGTTTTGTAAATGAGATACATTTTATGCAAAGATTTCTAAACTAAATTCTTGTCACATATTTCATATTGATATCATAAGAATGTTTATATATGTGTATATATATACACATATATATTTATCTATCTATGTCTATCTGTGTGCACACTGTATGTTAAAGTATATTATCTCATATTTTGCTACTAAAATTAGAGGAAAAGTTACATCTTCATGTTAACAGTATGAAACAGCAACCAAGCCCCTTTATTTATATGTCCCCATAAGAACTTTGGAACCCAACCTTGTTTTGGAAACTGAAGACTGTCAGCTCTATCTGGTATAGCATGGCCTGGAAACCCCAAACTTCACTGAGTAGCAGTGTCACAGTAGCCAGGTTTAATCCTAGCAAATAAAAATTTTAACTGGACGTATATATTACAAAGATACATTTTAAACACATCTAAGAACACCAGCAAAAGAGACTTGCTCTCATTTCTTTTACATATACTTTTACTGAAAACAGAATTGTTCTGAACATACTTTCAGTACTTACCACTGTGTTGTATTTTTGAGAAGGCTTCAGAATTTCCCCATAGGAGGCAGCATGATGTCATTTTAGTTACAGAAGTTTTTCCTGTTAGGAAGAAATATATAGTGCTCTTCAGTAAATGAAGATAAAAAAATGCATGCTTATGAGTCACAAATGGTAAAAAAAAAAAGTTACTTATTAAATCACCTGTACTGCTGTTTCTCAGGATTAAAAAAAAAAAAAAACAAAAAAAAAAAAAAACCAACAAACGTAATATTGATACCCAGAGAATAAATACATAGATCATAGTGTACTGACTTCTGTCATAAAAATTAGCAATTTTTTTTTTTTTCAGATTGATCACTGCTACAAAAATAGAACTATCATTAAGCTTATATACCACAAAATATACATTTGGGGGAAAAAAAGCTAAGGCAAGTACTTCAAAATAAAACAAGGAAAAAAATCACCACAAACCACTTTGGTTTTAAATATTTGTGTAAATATAGATTATACATATTGAAATATAAAATATAAAAATTCAAATAATCAAATGTATTAAAATATAAATATTCAAATATTTTTTTAAAATCCATTTGACTCTTATTTATTCTTTCCTATGGGTAATTCAAAACTGTAGTTTATACTTCAAATGACATTTCAATGGATAAACTATTTATCACTAGTCTATCCATTTTAGATGTACTATTTACATAGACTAAATACCAATATTTACCAACAGTGTCTTCTGTCAGTACTATCTTGAGACACTGAAATTTAAAACTCAAACCTTAATAGTGCTAAGAATGTTATCTGACGTAATTTGCATAGCTTCCCAGACTGTATTAGCTGAAATACTTCTCTTCCCTCAAAGGCCAAAAGAGTTGATTTAATGGGATTTACAGCTGCATACATTTTGCAGGGTTAATTCATGCACTGCTTATATATTCCTTTCTGTACAGCTCTTAAAGTACCAAGACACTTCATATCATTTATTCTTATTTTCATTAAGTTGATCAACATAGAGAAGCACTTCATATGACAAATATAATTTCAAAACAAATTTCAGGAGCAAGGGTGAGACCATCAAGTAATCCTATTAGATTGTTAATATGTCAAACAAGCTTATAATTTCTGAAGAAACATACAATGCATTTGGTGGGAATATTGTGACTACTAACACTGAAGAAACACTTCAGCAATAAACTGACAAATATGTTCCACAAAATTATACAGCTTTCGGGGTCCACCTAAATGGTATTCACCAGTGGGAACAGATATGACTTCCAGATAACTGGTCAAGTATGGACTATCACCACAAACAATGTGTCAATATACACACATGCATACAAACACTTCCAAATAGGTGTACATATTTATACTGTACTTTAAGAAATAAATTAGTTTTTAGCAATAAAGATCCTAAAGATCACAACACTGAGCTTCCATCTTATATTTCAGAAATTTTTCTCATACCATTTAAAGAAAAAAATCAGATTTTAGACTTCACTTTTGACCAAAATCAGTGGTGTAAATTAAATCAGGCTTTAACACTTACTTGCTGCTGGCAGATTCTGCAATCTTAATCACACTGAATAACTCTTCCTCATTAATGTTTTGACTCACTACAGCCAAACCACTCCCTGTAAGTGCAATTCATTGTAACAGCTGCAAACACAGGCCTCAATTCTGGGTAAAGACGGTGATTATCTTTATAAATTGAAAATAAATATCAGCAGATGGCTATCTGAATATACGTCTGAAAAGGTAAAATACAGGAATATGGAAGCAAAGGAAAATTCTTTATGAATAAGGAATGTGTGAAACACTCCCGCTAAACTGTGAAAGTGTCCATCTGGACACCTGCTGCAGGGGAAGCCTGGCAATGCTGCAACTTTTCATACACACCCGTTGAGGAATCAGATGTTGAAGTTTAGGGCAATCTTTATTCCAAGCTACGGTAATGTCTTAAATCTCTCCACATGACAGTGGCACTTTTACTGGAGATTTCACTGCTCACGAAGACTTTGACAGCCATTCCAATTCTCCAACAGTAGTGGGTGATTAAACCTAGGATATAAGAAATAAGGAAGGATTTAAGGAATAGCTGGACAGTGAAAATCCACTAAGGCTAACATGGCTTCCCTTCTCAGTTATTTTAAACTTGAATTTCTTTATTTTGGCAGCCCTTATAGCTTAATTTCTGCTACAAGAGGAGAACAAAATTCACCTCGGCTTTACGGGTAAACATGAGGATTAAATTTACCGTTTTTCCATAGCACCAAAATATTCTCCAGATTTAAAGCATAAAAATGAGTGAAGGAAGTGCTATCTGTGAACTACATTTTCCAAGTTTATCTTTGTACCTATGCGTTTATGCTTTTCACCTTGTCTTACAGATATTCTAATTGTCTTTGCCAGACAGGTTCATGAAGTATGAGAAAATATACCATTTTAAATGCAATCTTAGCATTTTTATATACATCTTTATATCTGTATCTTTTACAGTGCTTACATACTTTTTCTCATTGATTCAGCTTCATATTAAGTTCTTGCTTTTGAACATTTTAATAATAAGTGCTCTCAGCTGCTAAATTTAAGAACTGAATATATAGCAACATGTAAATTTTCAAAATTTTGAAGTACAAATAAAAAAATCACTGACTAAATAATGGGTAAATACATCTGGGCAGTTCTGTGATGGTGTCTCAGCATCAATAGCTTAGAAGTCACAGTATCAGATAAGCAGATGATGCTATTTCGACCGTTTATTTCCTGGACAGTTTTGGAGGAGGGGAATGTTCAGAAGAGAAAGCCAGCTACAGATAGATCTCACAGGAAATGGACACAGAACAGGTAGACAACTATCAGAAATCTGCAAATGAAATCGACTTTTTCCCTAATTTAGGTATTTGAAAGCTAAATAGCTGAACCTGATCTCAGGCTTCCTTTGCATTTAGTAGGAAAATATAGGCATCCCGAATGGTAAAAGGCTTATTTATCTCCATGAGTGAAAAAGTGTGGGCTTTAAGTAAGAAAACAACCCACTCTTCACATATAGCAACTGAGGTAATGTTAACTTACAGATATCTAAGAAACAACTTAAACAGTATAAATCAGTGAACTCCTCCTTTAGTAAATGTGCAGTAACTCTCTCTTTGCCTAGAGAGAGGGAATTCACCAACAAGAAAAAACTCCCATTTGGGGCACTCATTTTTCAACTTTAATCAAAAGCCAGAAGAAGATGGCAAGCCTCTCATCCACACACTCCCTCTAAATGAATATATTCCAAGTTGTATTCCTTGTCTTCAAGCAGATCAAAAAGATATGGTGGAACCTGTGTTATTTCTTTCTCCCTCTGACATAGTAGTTTCCTCACAATTCTCTGCTCATCAATTTCTGCTTTAAATAGTTAAACCTATGAACCTACCTGTGCCTATGGTCTTGATTCCTGCCTGTCCCATAAGGAACCCCTTGTGATAGCATACTCAGAAAAAGCAGGAAAGAGACTGACACTCCTCTGAAGTCAGAGGTGAAGGACTATATCCTGAGCCACAAACAACTAGAATATCCCACAGAACTGGTGGGTTGCTTCAGAAAGAAACTGCAAGAAAAAGAAAGAATAGGAACGTATGAATCTGTGGCAAGGTCTACAAGGTCAGGAAAAACTCTAGCAGCTAGAGACCAGAGATGGACAGAAGGCAAGCAGAACAGCCTAACACAAATGACAGCCAGAGACTGTTCTTCAGAGAAAATGGGCTGCTACCAAACATACAACTGCAGCAGCAGAGGAACCGTAACACAGAAATGGAAAGGCTGAGGCCACCTCCACAAGATGCAGGCTGGGGAAGGAGGAATGAAGCTGTTTGTAAGACACAGTGGCAGCTAGAAACAAGTGATGTGAATTTGCAGAGGTCCCTGTTTTTTCTAACAAAGTACTAACAATTCTTGAAAAACCTTCTTGCCTTCAAAAGTATTTAGATATGAATCTTTGCTAATAAGACTGGCAAAACACAGGTTCATTTCTCATGTAGGCTACATCAGAATCACCATGAACTACCTATCAAAACAAAGATATCATGTGTGATACAGCAAATAAAACAGATTAAAAACTCCTCATCAGAAGAATGAATGAGGGCAAATATTTGAATAGCATATAATACACATTTCAGTAGAAAATTTGAAGATTTTTGCAACACTAATAAATGGCAATCTAAAGGATGAAAGGATGACAGTATCATCCAAACAAACCTAATCAGTAATACTACAAGTCAAAACCCTCAAAAGCAGCAGAAAAAAAAAAAATATGCTGAAGGGAAAAAAAAAAAAAAAAAAAAAAAAAACACAACCACAAAACACAACAAGCAGGCTGGAAACAAAGATGTTAGGCTGTTAGGCTCAGTTTGAATCAAAACAAAACAAAATAAATCTTCTGAAGAATTTCAAACTGGTATAAATCAGGAAGAATTAAACTCATGAAGCCTGAGCCCAAAACAGCAACACACACAAGAGAAATGCTGATGATGCAGAAGAGAGTGATTTGCCGTGTTAAGAAATTCTGAATGGTAAACTGAACGATAAATTCCCTTAGGGGATCCAGGCCAGAAAGCAGCAATGCCAAGAAAGCATGTAGAATAAGACATAGCAAAAATGAAGGACATAAGAAAGGCTAAGTCTAAGGTCAAGAAGAAGGGGAGAGTGCCAGTCCTGTTTCAAAAGAAAAGGTTAATTATCAAATCAGGGATGAGAAAAAGGCCAAGCCTGAGATGAAGGAGGAGGAGAAAAAGGAGGGCAGGATACAGCTAAAGGAGACAGACAGCAGAAAGGGGACAGGAAAAGACCAATCGGGGGAAAAAAAAAAATAAATATTAAGGACAAACCCAAAGTCAAAGGAACACAATCTAAAGAGAGCTTCAAGACCATGCTGAGATGTACTGAAATTAAAGATCAGTTAGAGCTGAGAGGAACAGCAAGAGCTCCACATAATATCCCTCAAGCCTGTGAAGATACAGCTTTCAGAGATCGTAGATAGGGAATCAGATGAATAGAAGACAGAATAATCCACCCAGTGGCATCAAGTTCAGATCATCTATTCAGTCCTCACTCCAAGTATATAGATAAGTCTCTCTGGGCCTTTTAATATTATTTCTGTGTTTCTGAAACTAACAGGAAGAAATGTACCAAAAGGCAATTAAACAGCTATAACGGCAAGGTTCTCGCTATGCTCAAGCTTATGTTGACTATTTCTGTCACTTCCAAGTTATTACTAGTAAAGCAATTACCCTTGATGAAATCATATATGCCTCTCTGCACGAGCAAGATCTGATAAATATATCTGCCTTTCTCCCAGATGATTTTTTTTTTTTTTTTAAATAACTTAGGTAATTCAGGAATAAATTCTCTTAGAATTTTTATGGGCTAGGAAAGACAGAAAGACTGGGATGACTGAAAACTGATTCAAAAAAAATTCATACATGAAAACCCTCTCATAAGTGGAAAAGTTTTTCTCTTTACACAAATGATGTGTCAGATACTATCATCGTTGATTAATGCAGTCAAAATATAAGCCACTGAACTGTTTTTCACACACCCTCCCCCCAAAAAAACACAGTGTAAGGTGAGAGAAATTTCAATCCCAGCAATCAAACTGAAATCAGCACACCAAAATATGTGTGCACATAGGTCTTTGCCTATCAAGTTCAATAAACTGCCATTCCTGTACTATCTAAGCATCTTTCTGATGGACAGGGCATGAACAGGGGAGCTATTCCAGTTCAGTGTCAATCTAACTGAGAAGCTACCAGGAATTCAAGGCAGAGGGGCCCCTATTTATGGCAATATTGCCAGAAGTCCTGGGACTGACTTCTCTTGAAAACTGAGCCCTTACTCATTTTCACCTTCATGGTGTTTCCTAGTTCTCCAGAAGGAAATTATAATGTTAGTAAACCAAATCATAGATTGCAACCCACCTATATTGCATCTCCAAAACAAATACAGAAAAACTTCCAGCCTAGCATGTCCCCGAGGGCACCACCAGCCCTGACTGTCCTTATCCAGCCCCCCGGGGCTCCCCCCACCCTGCCCATGGCCCAGCACCCCATGTCTACCTGCTTGAGCTGAGGAGTTGGATAAGATGATCTGCAGAGGTCCCTTACAACCTCAACCAAGTAATTCTGTGCTCTGTGATCTGTAAATATATGTACTTTTTTCAAGAATGACACAATATTCCATCAAAATAAGAGTCTTGCCTGACTCAAAGAAGCCAGACTCCTGTTGCAAAGGTTATAGCAGACGTTCAGTGTTTGGCTATGTCTAATACAAGACAGTGAATCACTTCATCAATTACTCAGATTATTATTTCTACTTATTGAATAGTGTTATTTGGTATTAGCAACTGAAGACCAGCTTGAACTATAATTTCCCACATCTCAATTGAATATTTTTGTGCAAAATTGAGCAAAAGCCTGGTTCAAGTCAAGCAGAACAGGGATTGCTGCAGTCCCGTATCTCCAGGGGTTGTTCTGTCCTCAAAAGAGTGAAGGGAAGAAGCATATTTTAACTTTTTCCCACTTGATTTAAATCATGATACAGAATTACCTGCCTACCAATGGAAAGTCAGAGTCAGAACAAGGGGAAAGAAACAGCTCCATCTTCTTCCAGCACTACAAAGAACTCAATGACATAAAACAGGATGTAGGCAGACTTACACCTCTTTTAGCCTCCCTGCTGAGAAAATCACTTAAGTCTCTATCTGGCAACCACAGCCTTGTGAGCAAACACAAACACATTTGAAACCCATAAGACTGTTTCACGTAACTGCTATGAGATCCCCTCTAAGTTTGCAGCTTAATGGCTCTGTCTCTACTGCCTTCCCCTAGGCCTCATTTCCACAGTTGTCTACATCACAAGGCTTCCAAGTAAAATCATGATTCCTATCCTTTTTACATAGGTGGGGTTTCTTTCCAACAGATAAAATGCCTGTAAGTAAGAGCAAACAGGTAGAGAGGAGTAAAAGGGACTACGGAGCAGTTCCAGATCATTGCTCAACCTGCCCATAGCCCAGTCTGCCC